CTGAAATCTTTGTCAGGGTCCCAGGAAGAGATGAGGGGAAGCCATTTAGGAGACTTACTGCAGATCCGGGAGAGAGATGGTGGCAGAAAGAAGGGTAGCAGTAGTGGAATTCCGAGAGAAATATACAGAGTGGATATATTGCAAAGGCAGATTGTCAGAATGTGGGGAGTTCAGCAGCAGGAGGCTTGAAGGAGAGGGTTGGTTTCATGGTCCACCAGCACAGGCCCTGGGAGTGTGTTCCATAACTCTCTACACAGAAAGCCCAAAAAAAACATTACAGCACTTTTGAGATAATTGGATGGCTGGTTGTCAAAGCCATCATGAACGGCTCTCTAGTACTGCAAGCTACTTTGCAAGCCAAAAACTGATGCCAACTTTCTTTGATAAGAATAGCATCTTCTGGGATGCCTAGGTGGGTCAGTCATGATCTCAGGGTCCTGGGGTTGAGCCTTGGCTCTCTGCTCACTGGGGATTCTGCTTCTCCCTCTCCCTCTGTGTGCGTGCGTGCTCGCTCTCTCTCTCAAATAAATACATAAAATCTTAAAAAAAAAAAAAGAATAGCATCTTCTGCCCACGGACTTCAAAGACCTTTCCCATCCAATTTATTATCTTCATGGCTAAACTGCAGAAATGAGAACAAGCATAGGATATATCTGACTATGAAGGGTACCAGTCTTGGGGCGCCTGGGTGGCTCAGTTGGTTGAGCGACTGCCTTTGGCTCAGGTCATGATCCTGGAGTCCCGGGATCGAGTCCTGCATCGGGCTCCCTGCTCAGCAGGGAGTCTGCTTCTCCCTCTCCCACTTCCCCCTCTTGTGCTCTTTCTCTCTCTCACTCTCTCTCTTAAATAAATAAATAAAATCTTTAAAAAAAAAAAAAAAGAAGGGTACCAGTCTTGGGAGAAAGAAGTGATACTACAAATCATTTCTTGCCTCTTAGAAATGTGAAAAAATGCTCAAATGAAGTGATTTGGGTACCAGCCCCATCAGTGAATTCCACAGCACACCCCAACTGCGGGGAATAAATTTTTCAAGGGTAGTACCACTTGTGGTGTCTACTCTGCTAATTCCTTTTTCTAAAACATGTTTTGTGATCTGCCTAATAAATTAGTTTGGATAATAACACCATAAGCCTCAAAATAGAAATTATTTGATCAAAAGCAAGATATATGAAGAAGGAAACATATTACTATATAAAATATTAATAGAGCTGGAACTATCAAAGAAAAAAAGATTAAGTCTCAGTGAGGTTAAATTTCTCACCATCTGAGCATAAATGTTCCCAAGTGTGGATTCAGCATACAGTCTTTTCCAAAAGTCTTAGATTGAACAGATGCTCCTAAAGGTCAGTGAACTACATGCAAATTTGGCACTAATTTATTCTTTTCTTCCCCGTTTACGGGTGAGAGGTGAGAGGTGGTGGAAAGCGGGTCAGTTCTATCATCATCAATAGACACACAGGGACAAAATATCAAGCTGGACTCCAGAGGAATCAATCTGGCCATCCTGCAGAAAATGGCCCGGACTGGATGGGAAACAGAAATAATAACTTGGCAAATGGTTTTGCAGAAGTCTTCCTTTATCAAGGAAAATGTTTAATCACAGTTGAGGTTGAAATATGCATAAATAAACAATGTTTACTAAAAAGAAGTGGTTATTTTTACAAGATAAATAAGAAACAGTCATTTCCAATTAGCTTTATAAGAGAATGCCAAATAGAAATTAGAGGGGATTTAATCATCTCATGTTTTGGCAGGGAGAAACATAAGCACACGAAGAACCAAACCTCATGCTTTTAGCTCCTATACATTTTGCCTAAATGAAATTCTTCTATATGGTCAATATGGCTCCATTTATGCAGCAAAATCTACCCTGAGTCCAACTTCATTTTCTCAAAGCCTAAATCCTTTCAATAAGGCACCAAATAATTTTATTTCCAAATGCTTTCTTATTGCTAGGAATGGTGCAATGCACTTACTTTCTGATACATGTTTCAGCTTTCCAAGATTTTGTTGGAAATAAAATGATCCTTTATGACATTCTATAATATTCCATCCCATTAATTGCTTTCCAGAATTTCTATCATTAATTAAAGGGCATTCTTTCACCCTCCCCCCCAAAAACGCTAATCTATTCCCCAACTGCCTATCAGAGACTAAATAAAAGTCAGTGTTCACAGCAGCAGTGATGGTCATGCCAATTTCACAGTGTGATTTGTGCACTCATTTCATTTTGAAAATGACCCTGCCCTCCATCTGTCTAAACCGAATGTCCTGCTTTTCTCAAGCAGGCCTCAGGAACAGTAGCACATAAAACAAGGGGAAAGACAAGAGCAGCCTCCCTCCTGCCCCCGTCAGCTGCCATGCCCACAGGCACCAACACAGAGGGGCCCCCAACTGACTCCTGAAGGGATCAGGGAAATTTGGGGGAGAGCAGATAGTCCATTTTTCATCCATTTCCAAGAAGCCATTTGAAGGTGAATGCTTTCGTGATACAACTCTGAAACAGACTAAAAGATATAAAAGGCAATTCCCATTTCTATGTTCTGTCATTTCACCTTGATTTAATAGCAAATTACCAAAGGTAACAGCTTAATACATAAGAATTTAAAATACATTAAGATTTTAAAATATTGAGCCTTTTGGGTGCCTGGGTGGCTCAGTCGGTTAAACGTCTGCCTTCGGCTCAGGTCACGATCCCAGGGTCCTGGGATTGAGCCCCGTATCGGGCTCTGTGCTCAGCGGGGAGTCTGCTTCTCCCTCTGCCTCTCTCTCTCTCATGAATGAATGAATGAATGAATGAATAATAAATAAATAAATAATTTTTAATAATAAAATAAAATAAAATATTGAGCCTTCTGAATAAGAATTTTTTTCAAGCGGTAAGTGTTAAATCAGGCAGCCATAAAGGAGAAGACACTCTATTTCTTGATTATTCAGCCACACTAGCTAGCATCCCTCAAGCCATGTACCTCCTTTAGTTGAAGACCAGAAAAGGCTGCAGCCAGAGACTGGGTTGGAAGAAGCTTTTGAGTAGGGTTATATAGTGGTCTTCCTCAGCTGTTTTCTCAGGGAATCTCGAGTGGCCCAGGGACCCCCTCAATTCCTCTGAAATGGGTGCAGTTTCTCCTTTTGTTAGTCTTCATGCAGTGAAAGGCTCCTCATCTGGTCCCATCTAGAAGAACACAAGTTTGGCAAATTTCTCAACAAGGGAAAAGAATGCATAAGTACATGAAGTCAGTTGCTTGATAGTATAGTATCCAGATGCCTTATTGAAATCTCTTTTCAGCTATAATAGGTGACTAGGAACTACATTGCCACTCACCAATCACTTCCTTACATCTGCTAACAGCTGCAACTCAGGCCAGGAAGTTCAAATTTTAATGCCCAAATCAAGGTGATTGTTTTAATAGGAAAAATAACAACCAAAAAAAAAAAAAAAAAGACACTAGTATTCCCTCAAAAATGGGCCCTTAGGTAATACATACATTCAATTAATTCAACAGTCTCTCTTTCCTAATAACTTAGCTTTTGGATGTCATGGCTCAGCTGGGTTTTTTTTTTTCTTCTCTATCTAATAAGCAGGTATCGGGTGATTATTAAGCTTAGAGATAATCTATGTAAACAGTGTCATAGAGTGCCCTGCAATATGGTTGATGTTGGCTCCAAAATGTATTTATAGAAAAGGCTTATAGGCTGCAATACTATTGAGGCAGATAAGGGATTTGCATTGAAATCTTTAATTATATAGCAAAGACATGCTTTTACCTGGACTATGTTTAGCTTGGATTGTAGTGAGGCCAATGGAAATGTGGAAGACTATGAAAGAAAACCCTCTTACCCCAAGGCACTGCATACGATATTCATAAATTATAGCTATTTTTTTTCCTTTAGAGAGAGAGAGACACACACACACACACACATATAGAGAGAGAGAGAGAGAGAGGAGGGGCAGACAGAGACTCTTAAGCAGGCTCCATGCCCATCATGGAGCCCAACATGTGGCTTGATCCCACAACCCCAAGATCATGACCTGAGCCAAAATCAAGAACCAGATACTCAACCGAATGAGTCACCCAGGTGCTCCATAAACTACAGCTAATTTTATTATCTTAAGAACTGGTGTTACCTCACTGGGATAAGCCAGTTTTGCCTTTTGCTATCTTGTCTATGTCTCTACTTCCTGACTGAAAAATTATATTCATTTCTCACAAATTTTACAGTCTCCGTATCAGTCTAAACTATGGGTATGTTTTTATTAGTGATCCATTATAATTTTATAGGATAATTAAGTCCCTAGTTTTCCACTGTCCCATGAGGGACAATACTGAATTCAAAAGTATTTATACAAATATAGACCAGAGATAGTAACATGGAATCTAGAGTATCTATTCCAAATATATGACAAAGGAACAAAAGAAAATCCAGGATTTTTTTTGTACCATAGCAAATTTCCAGAGATCTTCAAACTAAGAATCCGAGAGAAAAAAATTAAAGTGTAGGAAATTTTCTTTTTATTTTAACTGAAAGAAAATCAGTTTTTATCAGTGATATCCAAGAACATTAAAGCCTGACAAGTACAGGGTGAATCAATCTCTCTTTCACACACACACACACACACACACACACACACACACACACGTACAGGGTGAATCAATCTTTTCTCACACACACGTAGAGGCTGAATCAATCTTTACACACACACACTCTTTACACACACACACACACACACACAAAAGTCGTTTTGGAGAGTTAGAGGAGTTAACAGGTTAGGGACACTTGGTCGCGCTTTTATTCCCACACCACCCTGGAAAAGACTAGGTCATACATCTTTCCACCGTCTCTATGTAGTAGTGAAATTTGGAGGATCGAGGCAGGGTGTAGCACCAAGTGTAAACCCTAAAGAAAGAGAAAGTCAGTGAAACCTCACCTCCTGACGACTGTGCGTCCGCCCGGCAGACACTACGCCTCCCAGCATGCAACGCGGTCACGACCAGGACAGCGGCGCGATTGGACCGGAGCATGACGGGACGTGGAGTTTCGGTCCCCGAACTACCGGGAGGAGTTTCTTCTTTGCTAACGCCGCTCACACTCTGGAGTCTTGGTGACAGGCCATATATGAGATACATTAGTGACTCCTTTCTAACCCTAGTCTGGTCTTCACCCTGCAAAGTAACTTTGGAGTAAGCAAAAAACCACAAAAAGAAAAAAACTGAAATATTCTTTGTGTCTTCCGTTTCCGGCGGGCTTGTTGCCGTGGTAACCAGCGCGCACCACCACCGCGGCGGTTATGGCCGGGCTGAGCGGCGCGCAGATCCCGGATGGGGAGTTCACCGCCGTCGTGTACCGCCTCATCCGCGATTCCCGCTACGCCGAGGCGGTGCAGCTGCTGGGCGGCGAGCTCCAGCGGAGCCCGAGGAGCCGCGCCGGCCTGTCGCTGCTGGGCTACTGCTACTACCGCCTGCAGGAGTTCGCGCTGGCCGCCGAGTGCTATGAGCAGCTGGGCCAGCTGCACCCCGAACTGGAGCAGTACCGCCTGTACCAGGCCCAGGCCCTGTACAAGGCCTGCCTTTACCCAGAGGCCACCCGGGTGGCCTTCCTCCTGCTGGACAACCCCGCCTACCACAGCCGGGTCCTCCGTCTGCAAGCCGCGATCAAGTACAGCGAGGGCGACCTGCCAGGGGCCAAGAGCCTGGTGGAGCAGCTGCTGAGTGGGGAAGGGGGAGAGGACGGTGGGGGCGAGAACGAGCCCGACGGCCAGGTCAACCTGGGTTGTTTGCTCTACAAGGAGGGCCAGTATGAAGCCGCGTGCTCCAAGTTCTTGGCGGCCCTCCAGGCTTCGGGCTACCGGCCTGACCTTTCCTACAACCTGGCTTTGGCCTATTACAGCCGCCGGCACTATGCCCCGGCGCTCAAGTACATCGCCGACATCATTGAGCGTGGCATCCGCCAGCACCCGGAGCTAGGTGTGGGCATGACCACGGAGGGCATTGATGTTCGAAGCGTTGGCAACACCTTAGTCCTTCACCAGACTGCCCTGGTGGAAGCCTTCAACCTCAAGGCAGCCATCGAGTACCAACTGAGAAACTATGAGGCGGCCCAGGAAGCCCTCACTGACATGCCACCTCGGGCAGAAGAAGAGTTAGACCCCGTGACCCTGCACAACCAGGCGCTCATGAACATGGACGCCAGGCCTACGGAGGGGTTTGAAAAGCTACAATTTTTGCTCCAACAGAACCCCTTCCCCCCAGAGACCTTTGGCAACCTGCTGTTGCTCTACTGTAAGTATGAGTATTTTGACCTGGCAGCCGATGTCCTGGCAGAGAATGCCCATTTGACCTACAGGTTGCTCACACCCTATCTCTATGACTTCCTGGATGCCATGATCACTTGCCAGACAGCCCCTGAGGAGGCTTTCGTTAAGCTTGATGGGCTAGCAGGGATGCTGACTGAACAGCTCCGGAGACTCACCATACAAGTTCAGGAAGCAAGACACAATAGGGACGATGAAGCTGTCAAAAAGGCAGTGAATGAGTATGATGACACTCTGGAGAAGTATATTCCCGTGTTGATGGCCCAGGCAAAGATCTACTGGAACCTGGAGAATTATCCAATGGTGGAAAAGATCTTCCGCAAATCTGTGGAATTCTGTAATGACCATGATGTGTGGAAGCTGAATGTGGCTCACGTCCTGTTCATGCAGGAAAACAAATACAAAGAAGCTATCGGTTTCTATGAACCCATAGTCAAGAAGCATTATGACAACATCCTGAACGTCAGTGCTATTGTGCTGGCTAATCTGTGTGTTTCATACATTATGACAAGTCAGAATGAAGAAGCTGAGGAGTTGATGAGAAAGATCGAAAAGGAGGAAGAGCAGCTGTCCTATGATGACCCAGATAAGAAAATCTACCACCTCTGCATTGTGAATTTGGTGATAGGGACCCTCTATTGTGCCAAAGGAAATTATGACTTTGGTATTTCTCGGGTTATCAAAAGCCTGGAACCTTACCATAAGAAACTGGGAACTGATACCTGGTATTATGCCAAAAGATGCTTCCTGTCCTTATTAGAAAACATGTCAAAACACACAATCATGCTTCGTGACAGTGTTATTCAAGAATGTGTCCAGTTTCTACAACAATGTGAACTTTATGGCAGGAACATACCTGCCATTATTGAACAACCCCTGGAAGAAGAAAGAATGCATACTGGAAAGAATACAGTCACCTATGAATCCAGACAGTTAAAAGCTTTGATTTATGAGATTATAGGATGGAATATATAGTCATGCCTGATAGTCTTTTATCATAATAGCTTTATATATCTGCATTTTATAGTTTTATCTATATTTGGCCATTGGCATCTTTACATTTGTCACATGTTAAACTTTGTAAAATTTGAAAATCATATTAATTAGATTAACCTTATTTTAAGTTTGACACCTAGAAAGATATATGAAAAATTCAAAACTGAATTGGGACTCTGTGTTTATTAGAACCTGTAGTGCCTATTTTCCCTCTCCTTTGTTATCATTTGTGCTTGGCTGTATTTAGAGAGTCCCCTACACAGGGATTACAGTTTCCAGCACTATCTTGGCACTATCAAGCCCAGAACAGAGTAGTTAACATACAGGATTTCTGGGTTTTTAGTATTAAGTTTTAGGGATTATGTGTTCTATTCTCACAACTTACCCTCATATTAATTTGAAATGCACACATTTTGCATAGAGTTTAAGATGTTTGGGCAGGGTTTTTCAATATAGATTTAACTTTCTGTAACCAAAATCCCTTAGGTGATAAATGTTTGGTTTCTTGTTTTCTTAATGTACAAGATTCAGTGGAAAATCTTGTGCCCTTAACAAAATTATGGTGCTGTGGTATAAAGACAATAAACAATTGCTGAAGAAACAACTTTATGTAGTTTTCTTTTGTTCCATTTGTTAATAATGTGTACATATGAACAAGATATACTGTTACTCTTTTTTATAACTCTGTTCTCATTTATCCCTTGACAGTGACTGATAGCAAAGGTACCATGAAAACTTAGTTCTTAATTCCTACCTATTTAGGATAGGTTAATGCTGGAGTTGTTTCTGTGCTGTAGCCTCTCTGGTAAGGAAAAATCTACACAATTCCCATGACCCCGCCAAACTTCTTTCCTACCTCTATCACAGATGAAAAGTTCTGAAACCTTATCTGGTAGATCCATAATGCTAGTTTCACACCCACAACATTTCCAGGGAGAACTCCACTCATTCTGCTTAGGGATTTCATTTTCTAAATCCTATATAAGCTTTACTATTTGTTCACCCACCCTTTTTCTATCCATAAATGTAACTGTCAACCTTAACTTGACCTGATTCAGAAAAAAAACATATTAGGTTGAATTGTATGAAATTGCTGATCTTGAAAATTACTGACCTACAGAACTAGCAGTTTCTCATGGTTCAATCAGATAGCTTTCAAGTAATAGTGAATCCCTGCCATAATGAGATGATTTTTTTCCTTCAAGGATATACAGACAAGGTATGCACAGCATAAATCCTCTGTAGCATGACTTCCTGGGTGCTCAAATTCTATTAGATCTATCAGAAAATTTGGCCTACCATGAAGTCCAATGGTTTTAAGTTTATAAGCATTTTTAACCTTAATTATGTATGCTGATAACCATTTACCATAGATGTTTGATCCCATGTTTGGAGGACAATCGATGTTTAATGATCTCTTCAGTATATCCCACAGCACAATTTTATATCTGGGAAATGGTGTTTGTTTAACAACTTTTGTACTAAAAATATTGCTGCTTCTTTGTGCAGTAGCTCTATGCCCTTCTCAATCTCCATAGCCCCTTAAGATTAGGAAAGTAAATGAACTGAAATCTTATTTTCAACAGCCATGTTAAAATTCTGGTGTTTTTGCACATTTCCTCTATTTTTTTTCTTAAAAAAAAAAACAGTGTAAGTAATGTTAACCACCCAAAAGCAAATGTTTTCCAGATTCCCTTTTGCAAATAGCCTGGCCTTTATTCAGTCACATTTTATTTATCCAGGTGCTGCATGTTTGTGGTTTGCATGTATGTGTAATTTAGCTTTCCAGAACATAAAAAGCTTTTCAGAACAGTTTTTAACCCCTTGCCGCTGGGCAGCTGGGATTTCCTGGTTAGTAATGAATCAGGAAATCCTGACTGCTCCTACCACTGAGCAAAGGAATAAACGTCAATCATGGCATTTGTCCCCGTCCTTACCCAGGCTCTCCGGAGAGGCAGCCCCTCAGATTAACAGACTGCTGCCTGGTAACAGCAAAGAATCTTGAACCACGCCTATAAAGCTGCCCAGTCTTCTGAATGTTAGAGGAGACTGAGAAGGATGAGGACATTCTTAACTCTTCACTTACTCTTCTTTATTTTTAGGATATATATATATTTTTTTAAGATTTTATTTGTCAGAGAGAGTGTGAGAGAGCACAAGCAGGGGGAGTGGCAGGCAGAGGGAGAAGTAGACTCCCAGCTCAGCAAGAGCCCAATGCGGGACTCCATCCCAGGAGCCTGGCCTGAGCGGAAGGCAAGTGTTTAACCAACTGAGCCACCCAGGTGTCCCAGGATATATTTCTTTTAAACTCACCTTTGGAAGTACTTAGCTCTGCTTATTGATACTATGACACTAACAAATGACTTTACAATGACTCTATATTTTGCCATTTAACTGAAGGCTTTCATCCCTAAAGCTCTGATGAAAAGTTTTGGTCTGTGCTCCTACAACATTATGTATTCAATGCTAAAAGCACTTTTCTTGACAAAAAAGATTTCTGTATATTTCTAAAGCTTTTACTCCTTTTTCTTCATTATGTCTGCATGGTATATTTTAAAGGGATCGAAGATTAAATCCAGTATTTCAAAATCCTAGTCAACCCCTCCATCTCCACGTGTTCAGAATATAAGCCTGTGTTTGTACACAAGTAATTTCTATTTTCTCAGACATGAATAAGAGCTTGATCTTTCCATGCAGAACAACCAGCAGACTCCTTTGATCAGTGATATGACTGCCTGCCAGTGGATTCCCATTCCTCCTGACATCCTTCTTTGAATTTGGCCTCAGCTGTGGCACGAATGTTCACACTAACTCCATCTGTGAGGTCAGATGTACAGTGACTACCTCTGACCTATTCATAAGAAGCCAGGAACTGGGAGAACTGTGGGGTAGAGGGAGGTCATTGGGCAATGAGACACCAGGCAATGAAATCATAGGAGATGATCTCACTCTCTCCTTGCAGGGTGATATAGGAATATATAGGTTATGGCCTCTCAAACCTGAGGAGCACCCAGATCGAATCCATATAGAACTGCCAGTGATAGGTTTGGCCCCAGATTCTAACAAACAGATTTGTTTGTGGAGGGCTATGGGGTTGATGCCCAAATAAATAAATTTACAAAAAAAATGTGAGATAAGAAAGGGTAAATGGCTTGAAGGGGAAGCTTTAAGGGAACAACTTTCTGAGCCGTCTGTCCTATAATCCTTGCTTGGGCTTATTTCCACATTGGCATACAGAGGGTTAGCAGTGCTGGAAGTCTGTCCAGGTAAGTAGGGTATAGCTATTAAAGTACCTAATTTTTTTTTTTAAGATTTTATTTATTTATTTGACAGAGAGAGACATAGCAAGAGCAGGAACACAAGCAGGGGGAGTGGGAGAGGGAGAAGCAGGCTTCCCGCAGAGCGGGGAGCCTGATGTGGGACTCGATCCCAGGACCCTGGGATCATGACCTGAGCCGAAGGCAGGCGCTTAACAACTGAGCCACCCAGGCGCCCCTAAAGTACCTAATTTTTAAAGGATAACATCACCAAAGTGAAACCTTTCAAGTGAACACACCAGCATTTTTGAATATAAGTTTTGTCTTGGGTTCCTTAGTCTTTTTCTTAATGACTATAGGTGATCTAGAAACACCTTGGAGATTGTGGTTTCTTGACGGTATTCTCTGACACACTAAGTAAATTCCTAGCAATGGTGTGACTTGCAGCTCACTATCTACCATTCACTAACTACCTCTTATTCTTTTTTTTTTTTTAAAGATTTTATTTATTTATTTGAGAGAGAGAGAGAGAGAGAGAGAGAGAGCACATGAGAGGGGGGAGGGTCAGAGGGAGAAGCAGATTCCCCGCTGAGCGGGGAACCCAATGCGGGACTCGATCCCGGGACTCCAGGATCATGACCTGAGCCGAAGGCAGTCGCCCAACCAACTGAGCCACCCAGGCGCCCTACCTCTTATTCTTTGTTGTCTTATCACTGAGACTAAAGTGACATTTGGGCTTTTTTGTATTCACTTATTGGGCTGTACCCAGAGTATTAAACAGAACATTTTGTGAAGAGCCAATAACTCTGGGTTCTTGGTTGTCCAACCACAGAAGCACCATGACCATAACCACCAGATTCTAAACTTACACTTTCATTCTAGCTCTAAGACACATGCAACTTTTTTAGTACCCTAATGTAGCTCAAATCCTTCAGCAGCAACTTTAAGTCTTAAATTAGCAGTTTTAAGGAACTGTGACTTTCCATAGATGGGCTCCAGATTATAAAACATTTCCTTAACCTTAACAGTTCTTTCAATTTCCAGTCTCTCTATGGGAAGGTATATAACTTAGAGAAACAGGTGTTCTTACATTTTTAAGTGCAGCTCAAAGGAATATAGTATTAAAAGTTATAAAAATGCAAATTTATTAAGTCCATCAAATACAGCACTTCCTTTGTAAGTTTCATATTAAACGTATAAAGGCACCAATACAGGACCTTCTGGATTAAACATTTACAGAGCAAGACAGCATCTGAGACAAAAGGTGTCCTGGCATTTTCTATGGTGTGTAGTCATGAAGACAGCGGCTTCCACTTCGTAGCTAAGAGAGACTCCATTTCCTTACTTGTGCCCTTCTGTAGAGGGCAATGACTAATAATCTACTTTAAAAGCAGAAATTCTGTATACATCACAGATACCCAGTATAAGCAGCCTAGAGCAGTGAAGCAGCCAGCAAAGGGACTGGCTTTAGTCAGACCCCCTTGCCAGCTCCTAACGGTTGATGTTACTCAACCTCACCAAACCTCAGTTATTTCACCAGTTAAAAAAAAAAAAGGATGATACCACTCACTTCACAGGATTGTTATAACAATCATTACCTCTTGTCTAGGGTTAAATCTCAGCACAGTGTCTGGCTAATAAAGGAATTAAAAAGTAAATTATCAATGCAATAATCATTCCTAGGGTAGTATTCAGCAAAAATATCTAGACTTAATCAGAATCACTGAGACCAATTTAGAAGGGACCCTAGAGATTTTCATTTTATGAAAGAAATTAGTTCCAAATAGGGAAAGTGACTTGTAGGTGGTAGAGGAAAATGGAGCACACACAAAATTTCAGAACAGAACTCTTTCCATTGTGTTCTTAGGCTTTAGAACTCCATCCTCTTATTTTACAGCTGTATAGTGACAAGATTTCAATTTTTAAAGAGTACCTTCCCAGGTGTAATGTGGATGAGATACAAAAGATGTGACAGAACTGTGTAAGAATGGATTTAAGAGGTTGCCCACCAGCCAATACTAGACCCATTCAACAGATCGTATCAGAAAATGGGTTTGAGTATATTGAAAACAGAGACATGCTCCTGAGGCCAAACATAGGCAAAAGTAAATGCAATGGCAGTAAGACCTCATTTGCTTTTCTGATAGGGTAGCACAAAAAACTTGAGCAGCAAGCTTCATCAAAGGATTTCAGTCTGGCAGCTGACAATGTTAAGTAAATGTAATTGCATGTTTAATGTTTGTCTGAAATAATTGTTGATTCACTGGGGGAGAAAAGCCTATTTGTGGACAAAATATAAAAATGTAAAGTGGACAATAGCATGTCAAGTGGAAGAATAGATGCCTGA